CTTTTTCCTGAGGATCCCTCCGTTCAGAATTGTGTATCATTTGGCTGCAATTAGCCAGCAATACTCCGCTCTTCTAGGAACCAGCCAGTGCCAGGTCTGCAGAGTTTGGGGGGTGGAGTCGCTGCACCCCCAGTGGGCCCTCTTAATAAGCCCAGTTAGTCAAGACTTCTCTCTGCTCTCTTGGAGCTTCTGGGTGCTCCATCCAAAATGGGAATGGCATTGCAGAGGAAGGGACAGGACTTCTCCCAGGCCAGGGTCCCAGCAATGACCCTGCCCAACCTAGGCAGTGAAGCTCAGCCGCTGGTGGAGTCCCAAAAGGAATCCAAGTGAAGTCAGAAGGACAGTTTAGGTGTCCTACATTAGAAAGGACAGTCCTCTGCTTTGGAGATTGGACACTCCTCTACTTGAGAACACCTTCTGTTGTATGGGCTGTCCAGCTCAGGTGTACTTCAACATCAAAGGTCCACCAGAGGGAAGATCTGGACCTTCAAGAGGTCCATCCATAGTAGAACCTGGACAACAGCAGACTGAGCAGCTATGTTTATTTTATTTTTTATTTATACAGGCTTTTGTACACCGTTCTTCACAGCCAATTTGGCACACGGAACGGTTTACAAGATTAAAAATAAGAGCAGATTAAAAATGGTCAAATAGCAAAATAATCATAATGCATTCCAGTAATGATGCATTTCAGCAGTCCTGCACCAGAGCCAACCAACAAAAACCCAAGGAACCAATAAACAAAACTAAACTAAACATAGCTAAAAAATAATAAATAAACAGACAGTGATCTGGCAGGTACATAAAAACAAGTATAAGAATTTTTTTAAAGAAATGCATCATTTAACAATTAAAATATTTGCCTGGCATCTGAAGATGTATAATGTCTGGGCCAACCATGTTTTTCTTGGGAGCCAGTTCTGGGGAGCCAGCTCATACGGCTGGCTCCATCAGTCTTTCCTACTGTGGTGAGACTCGATTCTGTTTCAGTTATAGTTTATTTGCACCCATAATGTAAACTGGCACATGCGACAGTTATACAATCCGGTGCCCTCTTCCTTCCTTCCTTCCTTCCTTCCTTCCTTCCTTCCTTCCTTCCTTCCTTCCTTCCTTCTTTCTTTCTTTCTTTCTTTCTTTCTTTCTTTCTTTCGGCAATATGAAAGTGAAAATCAGAAACTGCAATTTAGTTAAGCAATATGCTAAGTAAAGGCTCAGCTAGAGGTGTCCTAGGCTGGAAATCCAGTTCGTTTTCATTCCAGCGATTCCTTGGCTACTTCAGATCTGATCATTAGAAGCAGGCCAAGTCAGGGATTTGATTTGGTTTATTTCCCCTGTGTCCCAGGCTCCTGCCCCTAAGATGGGCTGCAGTTTGCACATTAAAAATCAAAAACAAAGCAAAACTAGCCAAGGAAATTGGATAATTCAAGCTACTTCTGCATTTTGCACAAATTTATCCCCTTTGCATCAATCATAGTACTTGGCTCATTTTGTGCAAATCAGTACCAAAGCCTCCTGAATGTATGATTTGCATGCAATCAGCCATTTTGCACAAATGGGCACCTGAAAAGCAGGCAGTTCTTGCACAAATTTTTTGGGTGACAATTTGCACAGCTTGCATAAAGTTATGCCAACTTCCTTTATGCTTTGCTTTGGTTTAGTTTGGTTCAATTTGGTTTGACGTGGCTCGGCTCAGCTTGTTTTAACGGAAAGCAGGCCTGTCTTAGAGACTGAAGCTTGTGAGCTGGCCCGGCTGGCCGAGTGTAAGGAAGTGCCCATGTGTGGCTGAGAATTCCAGCGGTTTTCCACACGGCCATCAGTTTTGTCACATATCATTAGGCTCAGCTGTAGGGATTCACCATTCTGGAAGTCCTATAGGATTCCTCAGTGTTTCTGGGCCACCTCACAGCTGGCATTTCAGAGCGTATGTCCAAGTGGCTTGCAGAGTAGGTCAGTCTCTTGCTCAGGGCGGACTGCGCAGTGGGAGTTGTTGGAGGAGGCAAAAGAGGAAGGTGGCAGGAGCAGCAAGGGGGTCCACACCCTTTGGGGCTCCTTCAAGGTTGCCCAGAAGTTCCTTACACAGAGCGCGAGAGTCAATTTTGGATGAGGCTGTGGTTTTTCAGGAGGGGAGTGGGAGCATATGCAGGACCCAGTCCGTGAAGAAGGGGTCAGGATAAATGATTTGCTCGGCTGGAGGGGCTCCAGCATTCCTTCTGCCTTGCTTTCCAACAGAGATGGGCAGAAGCTTCTCCTTCCAGCTTTGGTAGAATGCTATTTTGAGTGAATCCTTTCATTAGCTGTGCAGTGTCCGTAAAAGAGCTGCATTTCCAAGAATTGTCTTAAGTTTGGGGACCCAAGGGAAGGGACTAGCTCACAACACACGTATCCCTCCATGGAAAACAACCAAGGAATGGCAGTGTGGTTAGATAACTGGCCATCGCAAATATAGCATTTATAAAAAAATTCAAAAGGATGCTGTGGAGGAAGGATGAGAAACGCCTTCACCATGGTCATGGGGTGATGGGGCGTATGAGGAAGGGCAAAGGGGGATACTGTGCTTTATTGTCCAGGTTGATTCACTGCAAGCACCCAATTAGAACTTGGATAAACACTAGCACAGTTTCAAAATCCAAGGCAATTTCAATATTCAGCTTTTACTTTGAGATTTCCAAACCCTCCTACAATTTGCTTTTACTATTCAACTCAAGACATGCATCGAAAAACTTAAATATGTGGCCCAGCTTCAGTATCCTGTGACTTCCCCGTGACCCTCTCCAAACCACCTGGCAAGCCCCTGGACAATGACGGGGGAGCTACTGAGAAGCTACGCTATTTCTTTAAAATGTATGGATCGAGGCTATGGCAAGTATCCTAGTTAATAACCTGCTGGATAGAATTCTTTTACACTCGCTTGTCCCCATGCACAGGCACACTAAAATCCCTAATCTGAACGCATTCTTAACTACGAACATTGAAACGTATTAGTACTGGGTCAACAGGACTGAGGAGGGTAGATTTTTCTGCCCTTCCATCCCATGGCAGTCCTTCTATCATGGAAGTGCATGATTCTGGCTCATCATGGATGCTAAGCAGAGTCAGGCATGTTGCAATCTGGAAGGGTGACTTAATTGTTGTGAACTGCCCATAGAGCTGTGTTTATGGGTGGTATTTGTAACATGATCATGTGATACAAGGGGAGCCACACACGGGACATGTGCGAGGAGAGGCGATCCCCTGAAATTAGGCAAGGGAACCTTCTGCTAGCATAGCCCTCCTTCTCACGGAGCACCCTTCTCATTGCAGAAGGCAGACCTTGGATCCAGCCCAACATAAACCCAAAATTTGTAGAGGCAAATGGAAGGTAGGGGCATTTATTCTAGGGCATCCACCCCCAACCTCGTGCTTTCCAGGCATGTTTGGGCTGCCACGCCCTTAATCCCCAGACAAGGGCCCTGCTGGATGGGAATTCTGGGAGTTGTGGTCCAGATTCCTCCAAAGGTCCCCAGGCTGGGGAAAGCTGTTCTAGAGTAAACCCAAACCTGTACATAAAAACACACAGGCAAGAGAATCGGGACCCTTGAACAATAACTGACACAGTCCTTTCTGCATGGCCTTTCTTGCAACAGCATCGTGTCATCATTCATTAACTGTTCCTTCATATCAATCCCCAGTTTATTTATAGCATTTATTCATTCTCAACCAGAATGCTTTTGGTGGTCTGTAAATATTCAGACCACCAAAGATTCATTTGAAGACAATGGCTTCCAATATTTCATGCAGTGCGGGTGTACAAGGCATGGGCTCAGAATATTTAAGGGTCTTTGTATGGCCAGTGAGGACATCTTTTTTCCCACCCAAAGTGCCCCTGGGAAGGACACTACATCACAGCCATCGCCACCACTATTTATTGATTTATATGCTACTTTCCCTAATTGTCCTCAAAGTAGCTCACAAGAACAGTGTAGCGTTCCAAGCGGGCCATTGTCTCCGCAGCCCACCGAGGGCTGATGCATTGCCTCCTATTCCCTTCTAGTTCTGATTATGGCTCTCTGGCTGAAGCCCAAGCAGCCAAGCCAAGCCAAGCCAAGCCAAGCCAAGCCAAGCCAAGCCTTATTCTATTTAGCCATAGGCCATTACAAAATTTCCAAAAGACATTGTGAAAAATTTGGAAAATTTGTTCATAACAGATGCCAGAATTGAATATGTATGTATGTATGTAAAATAAAAACAAGTTTAATCACTATCAATTAACTACCTTCAATCGAAACTGCAGAGCTGCCAAAGTGAACAGAGACACTCTATAGGATAAGTGAGCATCGTTGTCTGATAACAAAAACATTCTCAGATTCTAAGTATGCATCAATGGCAGATAAAATTCCAGCTAAAAATTTATCTCTTGGAGCCCTATATAGCGGACAGGATATCATGTAATGGGGAAGATTCTCTGCTATAGGAGAACCACAGATGCATACACAATGTTCTATTGGACCGTAATAATAATGACCCACCGAAAAGGCTGTTTGCATGGTTTGAAAATGCAAAGCAGTAAAGGACACTCTGGGCTTATAACTGGGGATATTGACTAAACAGTTAGATCTAGAGTGGTCAAATCTGATTTCTTCACACCAAGGAGCTACTTTAGATTTCAAAATTAAGAATTGATCTAACAATGTGCCTGACTTGTAAATCCATTCCCTAAGTTGAGTGCTATCAGCTGAAAACCCTAAAAGATAATCAAATGGTCAGTTTAGCTCCATGGACAACATACTGGCTTCATGCTCGAAGGTCCCAGTTCGAGCTCTGAGGTCTGGTCTTCACAGAGATGCTCAGCCTGTGTCTTGACTATACCACTTCAAGCACACAAATGGGTGTAACCCATGATGGCATACTCTGTATGTTTATTGCTGAAAAATAAACAAATGAGGCACAGATAGAAAACCAGTTTGTGGAGGGATTCTTTGGAGAGGAGAGGTATGAGAAGAAGCCACTCCCAAAGTCTATCTCATTGAAACACTAGTCCTGACTTCCCATTGTATGCGGATAAACATGCCAAGTTTTCTACATGTGCCTTTCTTACAGCAACCCTGCATGTTGTATGATCTTGACAAGTTTTAGGAAATACATACCATCTCAGTCCTCTGAGTCCAGAATTCATCCTTCGGAAGTACTCGGCCAACACTAGGCTGCCTCCCCGCCCCCGATCTCCATGATGGCAGTGACGAAAAAGAGCTATTGAATTATTGAACTTGGTGCCCTACAAGAGCAGGAAATGCTGTCTCAGGAGAGATGAGCCATCAGGTAGTAAACTGATAACATGGTTGATCTTGGCCACAGGGTCAGTACTAATATTTATTGTACACTGCATTTTCTGTAATATTTGGTTGCTTTCTCTTCAATAAACAAAGCCTCCATGCTGTGAACATCTTTACCTTCCTTTTTTTCACCCTGTGTTGTCTCAAACGACCTCCGATGGCAGCAGGTTTGACTTTCAAGTGAATGTTAGAGCTCAGGAAGCAAGAGAAGGATTTCCTTATAGGTAAAAAAATTTCACAGCACTGCTATAAACATCAATAAAGAGATTCATTGGTCTAAATCAATATGCATCCTATGAATTCCCCCACCCTTTAGATTGGACAAGGGAAAAATCTTTGCCTTTAAGAGCCTTCTCAGAATAAAAGCTACTGGTATAATGTATTAAATATAAACTTCTGTTTAGAAAGAAATTGAAAACAAAACACAGCCAAATGAAAGCTGCAACGGGGGGAAGAAAAATATAATTTAAGATGTGGAATAACGAGAACCGATTTCCACCCATGAAATATCTTCTGATAACTCACAAACGGTAAAGCCATGAATTTATGCATAAGATACAATTCACAACAAAGAGATAATTCATATTCAAATCTCATGGTCCTCCATCACACGGCCCTCTGTTTATATGTAGATAGTCTTATGAGAAAATGACACCAGAATCTACCGAAATTATGAGCCAGCAAGTCAAGCCTGAAGATAATAATTACTTAGTTCACACAAGCACAGTGAGATTCTTCAGCTCACGATCTTCATGCCCTGCACTAGCAAATGTACCATGCGGAAGCAGTAAATTAAAAGGACACCCTGCCTTCCCCCCCTTCTGAAACACTTAATGAACTAATAACGGCTTGACAAAGACTGGAGGAGAAAAGCGGAGGTGGAGGTCTGCCGGAAAGGAGAGGAGGGTGAAAGATCTCTCCTTAATTTACACTGGCATAAATGGAAAGGGGGTTGCATTCCTTTAGATAACTTCATCTCAGTTTTAAAAATCAGAGCAATTTGAAAGAGAACTGGACTCACAGGTAACCCTGTCCATGTCTACTCAGAAGTCATCGTGGAAATAACAGTGGGAATTACTCACAGGTGAGGGAAGAGCAAATTGGATCTCCTCCCCAGAGACTCTGGCATGGGATATAGTTCTGTGAGGGTTGATCTGTCTGCCGTTAAATTCAGATCTGAGGCAACTGGATTCACTCTCGGGTGGCATGTCTCACAAAGCGCCAGGTTACTACATCAAGCCCACTGGCCCTGGTTCTTGATGCTGGTCTCACTGCTGCATGCCAAGGACTAGAGAAGCTGACCTCATGTTGGTGCCTCCCAGGTATTTTGGACTACAACTCTCAGATTCCCAGAAAATGGGCCACTCCCACCAGGGCTGATAGGAACTGGAATTCAAAACATGGTGGGCACCAGGCTGTGGAAAGCTGGCCAGCGTCTTTGCTGCAGCCTGAAGTAATCACACCATGAAGGAGCAATTAGATTTCACTGATCTGACCCACAGTTTCTTCAAGGACTGGTTAGCAGGGGTGAGCAAAACCACACCACCTAAAGGAGATTCGCAAAAGAACCGTCGTACATTAAATCAAGTTCCTTAGTACTGTAAAAATAAGGTAACCCTGAACAAAAGAGGAAAATGCCATGCATTATTAGTAAATTATTTACTCTTAATATTATTTCTACTAATTCTTTATAACTGCTATTTATTAATGGCATCTCTAAGAGCCCTGGGTGGCATTGTTGATGTGAAGAGTAAAGAAAACACACACACGTGGTTTGATTTTCTCAGCTGAACAGGAGACTGGTGATCAGAAAGAGGGGAATTAATATCTACACCATTGTCATGGTTGGATCTCTCCCTGTTGAGATTTAGACCCTCAGTGGCCTTTCCCCTCGACAAGGTGAAGGACTTATTAAAATGGGTTGCCCATGAAGGTTGATGGATTCAAATGGATTCCAAAGTTCTCTGGGGAATCTTCCTGCTGGTTGGCTTGGTTCTCCTGTCAAATCCCTGGACACTCTGTGGAATTTACAGATGATGTAGGCGGCCAACATGTTCTCTCCTTCCAAGTAGAGCCCAGTCAGCTCCTTGGTACACACCTGGTCCTCGGTCCATTGCACTAAAGCAGGTGGGTATTTAGTATCAGTCTGTTGTAGTATCAATCTTTTAGTTGTTAAAAGAGGACAGGGAATCCATTCACGGTGGACATTTCTTAATTTCCATAAGACAAATGAATAATTTAGAGAGTGTGTCCATTGAGATCTACCCAAGGCCATTACTATTACAAAGATGGTATCTGTAGTAACTTCTCCACAAAAAGAGACATTGCCAAAACATACATTTAGGAGAGGCATCGGTTGCATGGTATCACCAACCATTAGCCAAATTAAACAACCTGTTAAAGAGATGCAGCGTCCAGTAGACACAGAACACAAGGTGTTGCTGAATGAGGTACAACCTAAGATCAGAGATGCAACCAGCAGATGTCAAAGCCTCGATCCAGTGATTAGGTGTTTTGTGTGGTGTTGTCCACAGCAGTTCCCAAATTCCAAATGAGGCCTACAGATCCCAGAATGCTGGGAGTCTCTAATCAAGACCCATTTCAGTTGGGCACTCTGTGGGATGACTCCTTCCAAGAGTCAGACAAGGGAGTCAGATTCTGTTGATTCTCTTGGACTTCTCTCTCCAACTTTCAGTAGCATTGACCACGGTATCTGGGGTGGGAACTGAAGACTTCAGTGCTCCCATTCCCTCTTAGATAGCTGATTACAAAAGATGGCATAAGGAGATAATTGCTCTGTTCCTATGGCATGGGGTACCACAGGGCTGAATTGTATCCCTCATGCAGTTCAGCATCTACCTGAAAACATTAGGAGAGCTCCTCCAGTTGTACAGACTGAGCTGACACCTATTTGTAAAAGGCACCAAGCTATAGCTCTCCTTTATACCAAGCCCAGGTGAGGCAGTGGGTGTTTCTGGACATGGCAAAGGACTGATGCCTCTTTTAAATTACAAAAAAGAGGGATATAATTTAGCATCATCTCATATTGATAGCTCAACCCTGACTGCTCTTTAGAAGGCCAGATCCTGAAGATGAAGCTCAAATATTTTGGCCACCTAATGAGAAGGAAAGACTCACTGGAGAAGACCCCAATGCTGGGAACAATTGACAGCAAAAGGAGACGGGGACGGCAGAGGATGAGGTGGCTGGATGGAGTCACTGGGGCAGTGGGTGCAGGCTTGGGTGGACTCCGGGGGATGGTGGACAGAGTCTGTAGGATTGTTGTTCATGGGGTTGTGGTGGGTCAGATACAATTTTGCAGCTAAACAACAACAACGTATTCATAGCATTCCATACCTTGATTTTCCAGGGAACCTCAACCAGCAGTTTTATATAGAAGGAACAGAGCAAGTAGGATAGAATTCTGCAGCCCCCACAAAATAATTTCCAAGGAACAAAAGGGAAACCTCCCAGGAGCACATTCTGGAATCGACTTTCCAGGTAGGAATGGGACCACCACTAAGTTGGATATCGGCCCTCCAACTCAGACATCCAGAAGGCTATGAGGGGCAATGGTGTCAAAACCCACTGAAATGTGTTAAGACAATGAGCAGGACTGCATCCCACTCTTTCTTTGTTTTTCTCAATAGAGGCCATGTCTCAGCACAGCCAAGACAGCTTCAACTCTAACTCCAAGCCAGAATCCAGAGTGAAATTCTTCTAGAAAATGAGCTCTCCAAGAGTTTGCTGAGAGGCCCAGAAACACTTGCAAATGTGCAGATGGAAATTTAGGTAGAATTATTTTGATTCAAATTAACAAATTAGCATACAAAATATCTCACCAACATAGCGTGGGAGACTGTGAGAAGGTAAACGTATGTGCATTGCTCTATCTGCTATCTATAGAGGACACTTCCCTGGTAGCCCTTCAAATAGAGGACTGCCCTGAGTAAAAGAGGACACGTGGCCACCATAGCAGGTCCCAGTGAGTGAAAGCTCCTTTCCTGTTCTTTCTTTTGCTGCTTTTGCAAGTCTGTGCCTTTGACTTTCTAAGCTTTGTGGTGCAGGGACCCTAAAATGACTGCTTTGTCTTTACTGGGACTCTTCAGCTTTGTACTCGCTCTGGCTTATTTATTGATTTAGGAGGTCAGTGGCAGTAAAATCTATAGAGGACCCGCAGCGCTAAAATATGCAATAAAGAGAGAGGCTTGAGGCAATCCAAGTTTTGGAAATGTTTACAAATACAGCTTCAAATAAAATACTTTCATAGAAAAGAGCATGAAGATTAGATAGACAGGAAACAATAAATTTAATCGTATTCACTCAGCTCTTGGCTTTTTTGTTTTTGTTTTATCTATGCCATCACTTCTACCACTGCCTGGAATTTTCTCTATCTTTCAATATCTAAAATGACTCTGATTACATTTCTTTAAAATGCAGCATGGCAGAATTGTTTTCATTCATCATTTCAAATGGCGCTACAGCATCTCTTGGCTTGTGGCTGGCGCTGATGGAGCCCTTTCCCCTGTTTGTGTCAGTAAAAACGAAAGGAGGAGAGAAGAAAACTTTTAATAGCTTTACAGAGAGGAGAGGGGCAAGATGCTTAGCGGAGCCCCAAGTTCCCCTCTACACCTTGATGCTGATATTTATCCATTTCTTTATGATCTCTTCTTCCAATATTCATTTAGCTGCCACCTTGCATCC